CATATAAATACCCCTGTGTAAACAATAAACATTTGCAGCTTGATCAGAACTCCTGTCTTGCTGTCATCCCTCGTGTCTCTTGTCCCTTCATTCCTCCCCACCTAGGTTCGAGGCCCTCGTTGATGTGTCCTGCCGGTCAGGACATCCCACAGTATGTACCTGGCTTATTTCATTTAACATAAGGTCTTCAAGCTTCACCTGCACGATAGCATGTATCATAATTCCACTCCTTTTTCAGGCTATTAGTCTGTTTGAGCCAAGGTGTTTGGGTTTCAAGTGACAGAAACCTCAGTTTAACAGTTTCAATGTTTTAGTTGTCAATGGACCTTTATTTATTTATTTATATGCAGTGCTGAGAATAGAACCCAGTTCCTCGCTCCTGCTAGGCAAGCATTCTACCACTCAGCTACAACCCCAGCCCTCTTTTTTTTTTTAAAATATATATTGTTTTAGTGGTAGATGGACACAATACCTTTGTTTTATTTATTTATGTGGTGCTGAAGATCGAACCCAGTCACACGTGCTAGGCAAGTGCTTTACCACTGAGCCACAGCCCCCCTCTTTTTTTTTTAATTGTAGAAGGACACAATACCTTTCTTTTTTAATATTTATTTTTTAGTTGTAGTTGGACACAATACTTTTATTTATTTATTTTTATGTGGTGCTTAGGATGGAACCCAGTGTTTCACATATGCAGTACAAGTGCACTACCAGTGAGCTACAACCCTGGCCCAAGAATTCCCTTTTGAAGATAAGGAAGTACTTTTTCAGAAACCCTTTTAGCAGTTTTCCCTTCATCCCACCAGACAGAACTGTATCTTTAACATGCCAGAACACAAACCACTGGGAACCATGATTCTCTTAGCTTATTTAAAACTCATTCCTTGAGGATGGAACAGGGGTTGGCTACCCTGAAGCAAAGATGTGCCCAGAGGAGAACACTCCTGAATGAAACCAGGATTCTATCAGGAAGGAGGGGGCGATAAAACCTCGGGGCAGGCAACTAGCAGCGTCATGCTTCATCTCAGATCAATCATCTCAGTACACCATTCCATCAGGTGTTGTAGCCAGAAACCTGGAAATCATCCTCAAACTTCCATCTCTCTTGTCACCTCCTCCATCAATCAGCAATCAATTCCATTTAGAACACAGCTCTTGGGTAGTTCTTTTCTGCCTTGGGCCACTGCAGCAGATTTCTTGTTGGTCTCTATGCCTCGGGGTCTTGCTAAGTATCAAAACAGGTTCTGAGATGCTGACTTTTAAAAGCAATTCAGATTGTCATTTTCCCATTAAAAATCCATCTTAGATGTCCCTTTACAGACCACAGTCTGCCATGCCTTCCAAGGCCTGCTGCCATTTGATCCCAGATTACTTCACCAGCTTTACCTCTTACTAATCCATTTCTGGCTTCTGCCTTGCCCCCTTCACCTTATTAATCCTTACTTATAATTCAAGTCATAGATTAAGGGTCGCTTCTTCCAAGAGGCTCTCTGTTTCCATAATGCAATGCCTTGTACTTCCTCTATCACTGAACTCACCCAGATTTATTGCAATTATAGTTGTAGTCTGTGTTCCCCTAGATTTTAAGTTCTGGAAGGGCTAGGACCATGTTTTTCTAAGTGCTATATCCCTACCACCTGGCACAGAACATGGCCATGTATTAAATAAAACTTACAGACCTGAAAGTTTTCATGTTATTGGACCTACAGGGGGTAGTGGGTGCCAAAGATGTACATGAGATAATCTAGAAAGAGGGCGTCTCTAGAAACAGAGAGAAGTAAGAAAGACAATGAGTAAGATGAAGAGAAGGCTAAGGGGAGAATGAGGAATGAGTGGCCAGAGAAGGAGAAAGAACATGAGAAAAGCTACTCAGGCATGTGGCACACGCCTGTAATCCCAGCAGCTCGGGAGGCTGAGGCAAGAGGATCGAGAGTTCAAAGCCAACTTCAGCAACTTAGAGAGGCTCTAAGCAACTCAGTGAGACCCTGTCTCTAGATAACATACAAAATAGGGTTGGGGATGTGACTCAGTGATTAAGTGCCCCTGAGTTCAATCCCTGGTCAAACCACCACCACAACAACAAAACATTAGAAGAGAATGCAGTCACAAGCCAGGAAATTGGAGGTACTCAACAGAGTCACCCTCAGCAAAGATGACAGGACATGGACTGAAAAGTGACAATGGATTTGGTTACAGAACAAGAAAGACAATGTTTGAGAATGGTGGACTCTTCTTTGGTCAAACTGATGTTCTTTGTATGTGTGTGGAGGGGGGGGTACTGGGGATTGAACTCAGGGGCACTTGACCACTGAGCCACATCCCCAGCCCTATTTTGTATTTTATTTAGAGACAGGGTCTCATTGAGTTGCTTAGTGCCTCCGCTGGCTTTGAACTCATGACCCTCCTGCCTCTGCCTCCTGAGCTGCTGGGACTACAGGCATGAGCCACTGTGCCTGGAAAACTGATATTCTTATACTTCTTTTTAACTAAAAAAAATTTTTTTTGTAGTTATTGGTGGACAGAATGCCTTTGTTTTATTTGTATATAGTGCTAAGGATTGAACCCAATGCCTTGAACATGCTAGGCACATGCTCTGCCGCTGAGCTACGGTCCCAGTCTCTCTTATACTTCTTTTTATGAATTTTCTATCTGCTGGTCTGGCAAACATTCATTACACATCTACTCTGGGGCAGGTACTGTGCTCAGCCCTAAGGGAGGCATGGGAAATAGAACAAGTACCTCTTGGCTAGTGTGGCTCACTACCCTTGCCTGCTAGGGAAAGAGACATGAACCAGGGCTAGGTGTTTCATTGAGTTGGTACTGATTGGCTCTCAGAGCATATTCAATAAAACCAGAGCCAATGGGCAAGTCCAGAGGTCGGTGAGACTTTATTATCTTGCTCTGAGCTGGCAGGAAGCAAAAGGGAAAGTGTGTGCAGCACATTATTATTGCATCATTTCTGTCTGTTCATAAGTCAGTTGGAGATGAGATTCCGGGTTTTTCTGAGATAATTGGTACCATCTGTTCAAAGGAAGAAAAATAATAGAGCGGTTCAAAGGTACCTCCTCTTCAAATATTCTTCAGACTTGATCCTCCTTAACTACTCACTCTGCGGAGATTTCTCTAACTTTCAGACCTTCCTTATGTTACTGACTCAAGTATTGCACTACTATTTTTTTTTCTTTGCCCTTTTGTTCTAAAACAGTGTGGTGTTGTGTTCAAAAGGTCAGGGAGGTCAGCCTTCTGAAAATTAATGGATGTCAAAGGGGCTGGCAGTTGAAGACAAATATGCAGGGACACTAATTAGAATTTTATCTCATTTTCATTTATTACTTGTTTTCTAACTTTTATATGAGACATTGTTTTGAAAAAAAATTAAATTGTTTTAAGGTAATTAATGTCCTAGAAGAACAATATTATTTAAAGAGAGGCGGTCATGGTGGTGTAAACCTGTAATCCCAGCAGCGTGGCAAGCTGAGGCAGGAGGATCACAATTTCAAAGCCAGCCTCTGCAATTTGACAAGACCCTGTCTCGAAATAAAATATAAGGGCTGGAGACATGGCTCAGTGGTTAAATGCCCCTGATTCAATCCTTGGTACCAACCAAACAACAACAAAAAGAAATGCTGTCTATCAATTTTTAAAATAAAACTATGCATGGAGCTGGAAATGCAGCTCAGGAAATGCAGCTCAGAGGTGGAGTGCTTTAACGGCATGTGCAAGAGCCTGGGTTCCATCCCCAGGATCACAAAACAAACAAACAAAAAAAACTAGGCAATCTTTGAAATATGAAAAATTATTTCTCAAATTATAAGTAGGATTTTTTTTTTTTTACCATGTAAGTTTAGGAAAGTGATAACAAAAGATCTGCTTATGGCCTCAATAGACTTTAGTTTGGGGGTCTGGCCTGACACGATGGACTAGAACGTGGAAAACAAGCTCCGATGAGCCTATTCCTGAGATAAATGTACTCCAGAGACTTAGAGCTCATGCAGGGAACTTCCCAATGCTTCCATCTTAAGTCTCTGTGGACCTAGGGTGGGTTGGGAAAGGAGACTCAGGGTGGGGGGTTGGGAGGACACACTAAATTTGTCCTCACTGCGGAGGGCAGGAATGATGTTACATTTCCTGCGTGCTTACAAGGAGCCAGGCTCTGCTTCAAGCACTCAGATAATCATTCCTAACAACCCATAAAATAATTACTATTATTATCTCCACTTGCCAGATGAGAAACTGAAGACAGGGAGGTTAAAAGCAATTTGAGCAATATCATATCCTAGAAGGTGGAGGAGTGGGTACCTTCCTGGTAGCCATTTTAAGAGATGTCAATAATATCCTTCAACTTTATTAAAATATGGAGAAAAAAGCAAGACTGCAAGCAGAGCCTGGCACAGTGGCACACGCCTGTAATCTCAGCCACTCGTGAGGCTCAGGCAGGAAGATCTCAAATTAAAGCCTGCCTCTCAATTAAGTGAGACCCTCAGCAACTTCGCGAGACCTTATCTCAAACAATAAAAAACACTGGGGATGTAGCTAAGTAGTCAAGCGTCCCTGGGTTCAATTCTCAGGAAAGAAAAGGAGGAAAGGAATGAAGATAAAGAGGAAAGAAGGGTGAGAGAAAGAGAGAGACAGCAAGCAGGGCAGGTCTGGGAAGCAAGTGACTTATCGCCTTCTGAGATAAGAAATTGCTCTGCAGGGGGGCGTGAGAGTCAAAGGTGAGCTCCCTGCGAGCGTGGTGGAGAGGTCAGTGGTCAACTGCTAGCTGGCCTCGGCTGAGAGCTAGCGCTCTTACTCTCTACCAAGCCCCAGCTGGGAAAGACGAGCGAAGGGGCCGGGCGACTAGAGACAAACCGAGCCACAGCAGGCACCAGCCACGTGGCCTAGGCTCGGAGCCAGGAGGCGGTCCTAGGAGGCGGGGCTGGGGGCGTGGCCTGGGCGTGCGGACGCGCGGCGGGCGGAATGCGCCTGCGCGGATGGGCGGGGCGGGGGCGCGGTGATAGCTCCACCCGAGCCGCATTAAAGGCGGCCCCCACCGGCTCGCGGTCCAGCCTTCGCGGTGCGCAGGCGCTAGCTCTCTCCTTGTCATTCGGCGCCGCGTGCAGGCGGTTGACTGTGGTGGTGGCGGTCAATTGTCTCCGGCACCATGAGCGGTTTCAGCAGCGAGGAGCGCGCGGCGCCTTTTACCCTCGAGTACCGAGTCTTCCTCAGTGAGTGTTCGCGGCCTGCGCCGCCTCCCTCCCCCAGGCCGCCCATTCATTCCCGGCCTCGCTGCGGCCCGCTCTCGGCCCCTGGTCTGCGGCGCGGGCCGGGCTCCTCGGGCGCGTCCCCACGTCTTGGCGGGAGGGACAAGATTCGCCTTCTGGCCATCCCCCTCTTGACGGAGGAGGCTTCCCATTTTACCTGCTCGGCGGGACCCACATCCGGGCCCGGCTAGTTTTGCAGGTTCGGGCTCCGGCAGGGTCAGATGGGAAAGAATCCATGAGTCACCCTAGAAAGGTGCCTGGAGGTAAAACAATCCCCGTAAGAGGATTGCGGAGACCGAGGGCGGTGACCGCCCGAAGACCTTTATTCCTCAGCCCTAGCCCAGATTGTAGGCGCTGAGCCGGGTCAAGTAGTCGTCCTCGTTTACGGACTAGGAAACTGAGACCCGGGTCACGCACGACCCATCCTCGGAGGTCGCGCTCCTGGCTCTCGCACCGCTTGTTTTCCCGTAGCGCTGATGCTAGGAATGCTCCTTCTGAAACAGAAAGAGTGCAGCTCCAGCTAGACAGGTGACGTCAATCTGGGGAACACGGGTGAGCAAGTGCCAAGTTTATACTCGGGTGCGGGGTCGGCATCCTAGGATACCCATCCCAAGTCCTGCACTGAGAAGCGAGCAGGTTGCCAGGGCGCACCACCTTATTCCTTGCTGGTACTGGAAAGCTACCCGGATTTATCTTGATCTTACCCTCCCACCCTCAGATACTAGGAATAGATAAATGGCTTTAACGGAGGCGTCAGAAAACTGTCACCAAAGTCGCTTCTATTTTAACCTCTTTTCAGTTTTATGTAAAGGAAATGGGCAGGTGCAGAGAGCTCTTGAGTTAGTGCATGAAGGGCAGGGAAGGGAGTACTGAAAGAATGAACAAAGCACCTGGCAAAACGTAGCCTGGTTTGAAAGGAAAAGGAAAGTGAGCCCTAAAGCTTACATGTCTAGTTGAAGATTAAACCATCAGATAAAATCCCGGAAGGGTGGGACTCCTCATTTTATTCAATGTCAGAGTTAAGCAGCCAGGACAGTGCTGGAATTTTTGGCTAATAGTTCACTGAGAAGTGTTGGCTTCAGAATTTCCCTATAGAATAGGCTTAGAGAAGTGACTGGTTTCGAGGTGAGGGGATCAACTGAGAATTATCTTCAGACTACATAGGCAGAACAGACAACAGTGTTTTTACTTAGGTTGTGTATTGACAGTGAGTGAGTGGTTGTTAAGGTAGTTCACCCTGACTAAAGTAAACTATAAAATGGAGCTCTCTAGAATTTAAGAAATAATTATATAATTTTTTTTTTTTTTTTTTGTACCAGGGATTGAACCCAGAGGCACTTAACCACTGAGCCACATCCCAGCGCTTTTGGTGTTTTATTTAGAGACAGGGTATAACACTGAATTCCTTAGGGCCTGTGAGTTGCTGATGCTGGCTTTGAACTGGCAATCCTCCTGCTTCAGCCTCCTGAGCTGCTGGTATTTATAGGTGTGTTCCACCATGCCTGGCTAGAACTATGTAATTAATTTCACGTGCTTTTTGTAAGTTAGATTTCTTAGCTTCTTTTCTTAATATGGAAAGTAAAGTTTTTTACCTTTATGTTACATTTGTTAAAACTTCTAAGTGTTCTGGGTATTGTGGTGCCTGCCAGTAATCTCAGTGAATTGGGAGGCTGAGGCAGGAAGATTGCAAGTTTGAGGTGAACCTCAGCAATTTATTTTTTTTATTTATTTATTTTTTCCTTTTATTTATTTATTTAGTTAGTTAGTTCTCAGCGGACACAACATCTTTGTTGGTATGTGGTGCTGAGGATCGAACCCGGGCCGCACGCATGCCAGGCGAGCGCGCTACCGCTTGAGCCGTATCCCCAGCCCTAACCTCAGCAATTTAGCAAGACCTAAGCAACTTAGTTAGACCCTATCTCAAAACAAACAAACAAAAAAAACACAACAACAAAAAACAGGACGGGAAATGGGTTATAGCTCAGTGGTAAAGTGCCCCTTGTTCAATCCCCAGTACAAAAAACAAAACACAACACTGTTAAGGGTCTGAAAGGCTGTGAAGTCACAATTGACTCTGAAGAGACCCCTACAGGATTCTGGACAGTCACAAGTTTTTCTGTTCCACTTTGTTTTTTAAACTTGATGAGATTCAATGTGGATGGACTGTTAGATCTTCTAAGAACCGAATAGTGAAAAGGGTGTATGTGTGGTTATTTGTTTGCTTGTGGTGCTTGAAGGTCCTTACACACAGCTAGGCTAGGCAAGTCCTCTACCATTGAGATACATCCTCAGTCCTGGGGACATTTTAAAAAATGACTTTTAGATAGTTGAGTCTCTAGAGTTTAGAAATTACCTGTAAAGAGTTGTTGCAACTTGATTAGTCTTAAAAGCCATTATTTAAGATAGCCATCTTAAAACATCACTTAAAGCAACATGATTTATAATTTAGCATCTAAGCGCCCTTCTCCAGGTTTTTTTTTTTTTATAAAAGTTATGTATACATGTGATACAAGATGAGTAAAAAAAAAAAAATTGATCATCTTTTGTATACTAAGCAGTGCTAGATTTAGGGGATGCAAGGCAGTTCCTGTTCTTGTAATAGGTGTTCCTGCCTGTTACATGCCTACAGAGTGCATTGGGTAAAAATAGTCTGGGAGGAAGCTCAAGAAAAATGAAATATACAACCAGATTATTTTGTTTGGATGTGGGAATAAAATTTTGATATTCAAAAATATGTACTTCAGTCCTTAATATAAGCAACTCCAGAGGCTGAGACAGGAAGATCACTTCCAGGCCAGCCTCAACTACGTATTGAGACATTGTCTCAAAATAAAAAAAGGGCTGGGTTTAATCTCCAGTACCAGAAAATAAAATAAAAACAAAAATGTGTACTTCATGCATTTGGCAATATAACCACAGTAATAACCTTTTAAATTTATTTTGCAGAAAATGAAAAAGGACAATATATATCTCCATTTCATGATATTCCAATTTATGCAGATAAGGTAAGGTATCCCTGTCATTTGAACATGGTCTTTTACTCAGATCAGCTATTTCTACATATGGATTGTTTCTAACAAATGTTTAAAATGTCTTGTTGTGCTTAGTTAAAAGTTTATTGACTAGGAGCTGGGGCTGTAGCTCAGTGTTAAGAGTGCCTGCCTCACACTTGTGAGGCACTGGGTTTGATCCTCGTAACCACATAAAAATAAATAAAGATATTGTGTCCATCTACAACTAAAAAAAAAAAAAAAAAAATTAAGTTTATTGACTAAATAAAATTAAGTTTATTGACTAAATAAAAAATTAAGTTTATTGTCTGTCCTACCACTGTACTATCCCCAACTCTTTTTCTTTTTTAAAATCTTTTTTGTAGTTGTAGATGGGTAGAGTGCCTTTATTTAATTAATTTATTTATTTGTAAGTGGTTCTGAGGATCAAACCTGGTGCCTTACACACTCTAGGCAAGCACTCTACCAGTAAGCTACAGCCCCAGCTCTGATTTCATTTTTGACACAAAGTTTCACTAACTTGTTCAGGTTGACCTTGAACTTCTGAGCCTCCTGAGGTTTCAGCCTTCCAAATATCTGGGATCACAAGTGTGTGCCACCGTGCCTGGCAAGAAATCAGACTTAAAACCAGATTATTCAGTTAAAGAAGCAACTACATGTTGGGAAAGGTTAGCGGAATAGAGGCAGAATTTTTTAGGGTGCTTTATTAAATAAAAAAATCGCATTGGTCTTTGTGTGTTTAGAACTAAAATCTTAGTACTTCATTACTCTAGCACAAAATCTTGACTATAATGTTTGTTTTTTTATTTTGGTACCAGGAATTGAACCCAGAAGCACTTAACCACTGAGCCACATCCCCAGCCCTTTTTTATATATTTTATTTTAGAGACAGGGTCTCACTGAGTTTAACACCTCACTAAGTTGCAGAGGCTGGCTTTGAACTAAAAATCCTCCTGCCTCGGCCTCGTGAGTCTCTGGGATTATAGGTGTGCACCACCATGCCTCACTAGTGATCTGTTCTTATATGTACCCAATGAGCTGGAGATTTAGTAGATTGGTATGTTTACCATAAATTAATAAGAATCTTTACTTTTCTAGGAAAAATATTTACAACTAGATATATATTAAAAACTTTAGGGCTGGGGTTGTGGCTCAGTGGTAGAGCGCTCATCTAGCACGTGTGAGGCCCTGGGTTCGATCCTCAGCACCACATAAAAATGAACAAAATAAAGGTGTTGTGTACAACTAAAAAATAAATATTAAAAAAAAAAGTTTATAATCCTTGGGTAGTAGGATTAACCAGTGACTTTTTTGTTTTTGTGGGGTTAGGGATAGAACCCAGGGCCTTACTTACACATTCTAGGCAAGTGATTACCACTGAGCTGTATCCTCAGTGCATATTTTCACAATTTTAGTTATGTTAAAAAGCGGGGAGTGCTGGGGATATAGCTCAGTTTGTAGAGTGCTTGCCTTGTATGCTTAAGGCACTGGGTTCAATCCCCAGCAACACACACACACACACACACACACACACCAAAAAACCCAGGTTTTTTTTTGTTTTTAGCCTCCTTTGCAGCCGGAGGAGTTTGTACTGTGTCCAGGAACTTGACACAGGACATATATCTGGTTTTATACATTTCATATTTCCTTTTTTTCTTCAAGAAGGAGTTTGAGTTATAAAAGCCACATAGGCTACTGACCTTCCTTGGCTTAGTGTTGATCCATACTACATGTGAATGTCACATTGTGATGCATGTGTAGAATAATAGATGAAATTTTTTCCCTGTGTATGCTCAGTCTTACTGTTTTCTGGGCTTGACTCTTAGGAATAGACAAATATATTGTACTGTTCTTCTGGCAGGAAGTTTGCCTAAGTTCCCTGTTGACACTTAGGCACTGGCAGAAAATCCATTTCGTGTGTTGCTTCAGAGGAGCCTGCCTGAACTAGGCCCCAGTTGGAAACAATAGAGCACAGAGCCCCAAGACAGTTATGTGCCATAGTTATACAGGAGGGACCTCTAATTGGCATGTGTTTTCCTGTAGAAGACTCAAAATTTTATCTATTCAGAAACTCGGTTTGTTGCATCTGATTTCCTGAGAGCTGATGAATTACTGATTCCTCCCCACCTCTTGAATTGGTCTCATTTGGTTGGTTTGACCTATCCATTTGTTGAATAATAGTATTTACATCCTACGTAAAGAACTTCATGGTAACGACTCCGACCATTGTGAATAATGAAGAGGTACCTTTGCATGCAGGTGAGCTCAGAAAGGAAACCACTTTACACATAATTGATTTTTGGTGTTCATAAATAATTAGACAGTGTTCTAGCCAAGAACAGAATGATCATAGAAGTCATAGTACCTGCTCTTATTGCTGCTTCAAATATTCCAAGATAGGAAACTGAGATGACCTTTTGGTGTTGTACAAAACATCTTTACTCAGTTACCCTGTGACACTGAAGTCTTGAATGGGGTGGCTTGTATCTGTGGTATGGTTACTCAGGAAGTCTCTACCCTCTGCCACCCTGTGCTGGCTCAGACGTGTGAGCTCTGGATTTCTGCAGTTGTCCAGAACCTAAGGACCTTGTTGCTTCTGATTCCTCCTTGAGAAGCTGGACGAAGCTCTTTTGTTTTCAGGGAAGTTGTTGAAAACACAAACATAGGTGTGGGCAATATGGGTTAATTTTGGATTATTACCTACCCCCAAAAGTTTCCTTTCTCCTTTCCTTTTTCTTTCTTTCCTCTCCAATTCCAATGTGATTAAGTTTATGTGATATATTTTTGCGTGTATGGTCATAATCTTTATCTCTAGTATGGTAAGTCTTTGAGGTAATGAGGGAATGTCACTAACAGTAAGATGTACCTTTAACATAACTCCACTAAAGAAAAATGTCCAAAGGCTTGTATATTGTACTGCATATCAGGATCTTTCAATGTGGGTAACATCCAGTTTGGTTATGCCATTAGGTTGTCAAGTTAGCCAGGCCTGGAAGTTGTTATGACTCAGGTGTTTTATGTCCAAATGTAGTGGGTAGAGTAGGTGAAGGCAAGGAGTCGCTGGATATATATATATTTTTTGTACGAACTCCCTTTGCTCTACCTTTGTTTGGGGATCATATATAAAAGTACCTGAGACGGGGGTTGTGGCTCAGTGGTAGAGCGCTTGCCTAGCATATGGAAGGCACTGGTTCAATTCTCAGCACCTCATATACATAAATAAAATAAAGGTTCATTGACAACTAAAAAATTAAAAAAAAAAAATATATATATATATATATACACATATATATACATACACACACATACACATGTACCTGTGGCTCAGGAATATCTTCTAAGAACTTCTAAGATACCAGGAATTTAAAAATCCCAGGACATGGTAAATAATATGAACACTGAGTAGATAAAGATACAAAGTGCTCATATATCATGACTTGATATTATAATTTTAGAAGTGTGGTGTTTTCCTAGTCCATGGACCTTAAATGTTCATGTTAAAAACTAGTTCTGACTATGTAGCATCTTTGTTTTTCCTAAACTTGTTGGGAACATACAGTAGTTTATGTAAATATGGAACTGTCTCTTATTCCCCTCCAAAAAGGTCAAGCTTCTAATCAAATAGGTTGATGTTTTAGAAACTTTTATTTTCTGCAGTTTTGGGGCAGTTGTGCATTTTTCTTGGGAAAGGTTCTAGTTAGTCATTGCAAATGATAAAAATGTTGATAACTAGAAATGTAGGCTCTTTTTATTAAAAAAAAATCAAGCAAGAGGGAGAAAATAAATTACCGTTAGAATATCTGTTTTCAAAATTTAGTAATTCTGAAGTTATCTGAAGGGGAAAAGTAGGTGTTTATTCTTAGTTAAGACTTGGAGGATTAAGTTACCACTCTGTGTTGGTACACATGGCAGGGTGTATTTCTAACTATCAGGGTTGTTTGACTGCCATAAGCAAGAAATCTTTGTAATTGCACAATAACAAAGTTCAGGTTGAGCATCTGAAACTTTTTTTTTTTTTTTAGTTGTTGATGGACCTTTATTTATTGATTTTATTTTTATGTGGTGCTGAGAATCAAACCCAGTGTCTCACACATGAGAGGCAAAAGCTCTGCCACTGAGCCACAATCCCAGCCCAGAATCTGAAACTTTGAATGCTCAAAATGTTTCATGTTCAGAGCAATGGAATTGGATTAGGGATACTCAACTAGTAGAGTCTATGTAACTGTTCCAGAATCCCAAAACCTGAAATCAAATGCTTTTGGTCCCAAGCATTTTGGATAAGGGTACTTGGCCAGTATTACTGAAAGTCTTGTGTATGTATGTGGGGTTTTTTTTTTTTTTCAATAGGTTAAATCATCTTCCTCTGGACTGTTGACACGATCTTTTTGTTTTCTAGTTGGACACATTATCTTTATTTTATATATTTTTATGTGGTGCTGAGGATCGAACCCAGGGCCTCGCACGAGCTAGGTGAGCGCTCTACCGTTGAGCCACAATCCCAGCCCTGTTAACACGATCTTTGAGCAAAAAATTTGTGTGTGTGTGTGTGGGGGGGGCGGGGGTTGACATGTTTTCAGTTGCTGTTACAATTCTAAATAGGGCACAATAGTATAAACTTTGTTCATCATATTTCTTTCCATTAGCTTCTAAAATAGACTGTCATTTGTCAATTAAATAATTTAGGAATCCATTTATTTTTAACAACTGGAGAGAATATCCTTCTATAATCATAAAACCAACTTTGATGCCTAAACTGAAAAGTCACTGTTAAGAGCCATTGTTGCTCAGTGATCACTGAATAAGGTAAAATATTCTTGAAATGATGCAAAACCTGATGCACCTTTTCAAAACCATTATGGGGCTGGATCATTTCCTTATTACCTATGTGAACTCTTTTTTAATTGTTGATGAACCTTTGTTTTATTTATTTATATCCCGTATGGAGATTTGAACCCAGTGCCTCACACATACTAGGCAAGCACTCTACCACTTATCTACAGGCCCAGCCCCTATGTGAGCTCTCTGATAGGGATTTTGTACATCTGAAATTCAAAAAAAGTATAAAGCTACTCATTTGGTATTAGCTTCTTTATATCGAATCTCTAGATGGTTTTAGAAAAATATTCTTTCTACAACCACCACTGTCTTACTTTTACTGAAAACATTAAAAAATGAGTGGTGGGGGGCTGGGGGTTGTCACTCAGTGATAGAGTGCTTGCCCAGCATGTGTGAGGCACTGGGTTCAAGTCTCAGCACCACATATAAATAAGTAAAATAAAGGTACATTGACAAGTAAAAAAGTACTTAAAAAAAATGAGAGTGGTGGGATCAGAGGGTGATATTTGTGTTTCTTTTCAGGTCTGGCCTTTACTTGATTTCTGTTTGAAGTTTTCTAGAGAAATAAATCATGAGTCAACTTGAAAATGCTTATTTCAGCTACTTGTATAAATCTATGATATAGTGTGTCATGTTCACTAGGCTTTAGATCTAGTGTTGTAAACAGATCACAAGTCATGAGGGATGCAGCACTCCTGGGTTCAATACTCAGTATCAAAAAACAAAAATAAAAAAATAACCGCTACTTAGTTGAACTTTCATGTGGTAATAGCTCCCCCTTGTGAATCTTTAAGATATTGCTCATGAAAACTTTTAAATCCCTGACATAGTTTACAGATCTTTCCTTTTCATAGCTAAGACGTGATACTAGATAAATATAGTTCTTGAAAACTTACAGTGGACAAAGTGAAATTTAACCAGAGGTTGGTCCTGAGGCTTCCTACCCATGAACAATTGTTACATTTTCTAAACCATCTAGTTATTACTTAATAGGGATATAGGAAAAGAGTGGTTCATTCAGTCCCAGATTTAAGTGAAATCTCTATTTTACTGGCTTTATATGGTATTCCATAGGCATCAGGAGGCTTGGCAGAATGTACACAATGTGTAGCTTTTCTGCTTGTTTAAAAACAACAGCAAAGTGATTTCTGACTTGATACCTTTGACTTATTCCCTGAAAGTTTATCAGCCTTGTCTTTTCATGCAAAATAGCAGAGGGGTATTTCTAAAAAGTTGTGTAAGTAATTTTCATTTCATTTTATTCATTCATAGGTTGAGCCCAGGTTCTCATGCATGCAAGACGTTGGGCTACCACTGAGCTACAGTGCCAGCCCTATTTATTTATTTTTAGTGGAATATCACCATGTTGCCCAAATTGGTCTCAAACTCTGGGGTACAAATGAGATCCTCTTAGCTCACTCTTATATGAATAGCTAGGTCTATCACTCAGCTCTAATTTTCATTTTCTTTTTCCCTTTGGTGGGGCTGGGAATTGAACCCAGGGCCTTCCACATGCTAGGCAAGTGTTATACTGCTGAGCTACATCCCCAGTCCCTTAAAGGTAGATGTTTGTGGGGGGTTGGGGAGTACTCGGAATTGAACCCAGGGGTGCTCTACCATTGAGCTACATCTCCAGCCTATTTCATTTTTGATCTTGAGATAGTCTACACAAAATTGCAGAGGTGATCTTGAACTCATGGTTCTCCTGCTCAGCCTCCCAAGTTGCCGGGATTACAGGTGTGCACCACCACACCCAGTTTAAAGATACAATTTTGATAAAAGAATGATTGCAGATTAAGCTTCATCTGTGTCCTTCTAGGGGCTGCAAACAGAAAAACTCACTACAAGTTTTATTCCTTGGTAAAAATCATTGTCTGGAGGCCGGGGCTATAGCTCAGTGGCAGAGCTTGCCTAGCATATGTGAGGCACTAGTTTGATCCTCAACATCACATAAAAAAATAATAAAAATATTATATGTCCCTCTACAACTAAAAAAAAAATTGCAAATTTTATAAATCATAGTCTGGGGCTGGGGTTCTGGCTAAGTGGTAGAGTGTTTGCCTAGCATACTTGAGGCACTCACACCACATAAAAATGAAATAAAGATATTGTGTCCACCTGTAATAAAGTAAATAGTCTGTTTAAAGCTCGGTTTTAGTTAAACAAAAAATATGGACTTGCCATTGGTTTTCTAAATAATATCTTTTTTTAGTTATCAATGGACCTTTATTTTATTTATTTATATGTGGTGCTAAGAATCGAACCCAGTGCCTCACATGGGCTAGGCAAACGCTCTACCACTGAGTTACAACCCCAGCCTCTGCCAAGTCCATATTTAACTTGGTATGCAAAATGAGATGAAAAAGTATGCATGCTCCCCAAAATCATCTACTTTACAGTAAACAATTTAAGCGGGGGGGGGGGCAGTAAATACATACACACACAACTTAAGGCTCTTAGCTAATTACAATACTACTGTGTTTGCCTGACATTTTTGGAATATGTTTTTCTTCAATGCCAAACCTTGATTTTGAAAAGCAGTCAAATTTGGAGAATAATGTAGGTAATCTAGCCGTATAATTTTGTTAAAGTATGATCAAGTAATTAGGCTGATTTAGGGGTTTCTCTCTCCCACCCTGTACTGGGGATTAAGTCCAGGGATGTTCTCTCATCCCCCATCTTTTTTTTTTTTTTAAAGATAGGGTCTTACTAAGTTGCTAAAATTGACCTCAGACTAACAATTTAACTTTGGAAGAAACACACATGCTTCCGGTAATAAGAGACAAAGTAGCTCCTGTGGTCATCTTATCTTTGCTTTGTTTTTCCAGGATATCTTTCACATGGTTGTTGAAGTTCCACGCTGGTCTAATGCAAAAATGGAGGTAACGTTTCACCTTCAATATCAGACTTAGGATATTAGATATTAGATATTATTAGGATATTAGGTATTATTAAGAGTGAAACATCTGTACTCTTCTCTGTGCTCACACTAAACTTAGCCATTTACTATTTGTAAATATGCTCCAGACTTTCCTTCCCCACACCTTTGCTTCTGATGTTCTCAAACTTTCTTTTTTCTTATATTCTTTTTTCTGGTACTAAGGAATGAACCTGGGGTACTCTCCATGAAGCTGTACCCTCAGCACTTTTTCTTTTTCATTTTGAGACAGGGTCTCACCGAGTTGCCCAGGCTGGTCTTGAATCCATAGTCTTCTGCCTCAGCCTTCCAATTGGTAGAATTACAGATATGTGCCTCCACACCAACTTCCTCCTCTTACTCTTAAATTCTTCCTTGACTCCTCTTTAGCCATCCCAGCTACAAGTAATCTCACTGGAATTTCTGTTGCATTTTGTTAATTTCTTCTGATGACTCCTAACATGGTTGCCTTTTTGTTATTGTTGAATTTTTTGAACATGTTTTGCATGTAATATACATTCATACCTTTTTTTTTTTTTGGTACCAGTGTGTATTGAACTCAAGGGCACTTAACCACTGAGCCATGTATCCAGCCCTTTTTATTTTTTGTATTTAATACAGGGTCTTGCTAAGTTGCTGAGACTTACTTTGAACTTGAGATCCTCCTGACTCAGCCTCCTGAGCCATGGGGATTCCAGGCATGTGCACTGCTCCCAGCACACTCAGATATTTTAATAATTTAAAATGCTTTAAAGGAAAGATGAAATTGGATTACATTTGTTTTGCCCTTTTAATAAAAATCTTGGTATTTTTTTCAAGTGTTTCCAGCTAATTTTAGTTGTTTCTGTCTAGAATTAGTAATTGATAATTGCCTAATTAAGCTTTCCACTTAAGGGCTAATTGCGAAAACATGTTAGTCCAAATTATAAAAATGTTAGGGATAAAATTAATTGTTAAAAGTGGAATTAGGAGACAACATGCCATAATTCATTTCCTCAGATATCTATTTGAATCTTTCAGATTGCTACAAAGGACCCTTTAAACCCAATTAAGCAAGATGTGAAAAAAGGGAAACTCCGTTATGTTGCGAATTTGTTCCCCTACAAGGGGTATATCTGGAACTATGGTGCCATCCCTCAGGTATGTTTGCATGTACTTCCTGAAAATATACTCTTTTAACTTACTAAAAATTAACTTAAGTGGTTAGTTATATATATTAAACACCTTCAGAAAATGTAGACTTAAAAAACTTAGGGGTAATTAATACATTTTAATACTTCCTTAAAAGCCCTTTTTTCATAATTAGCTGAAATTTAAATACAACATTTAAACTCAGATTTGAAAGTTTATTCTTTTCCAAAATATCTTGTTTTTTTTTAATGGACTGGTTATAAGGTATATGCATTCTTTCTTTCCAGATTAAGTGGCATGTCTACTAATAGAGACTTCTTTTTTGAGGGGAATGTTGCTGAGGATCAAACTCGAGGCCTCACGCGTACAAGGCAGACACTCTACCACTGAGCTGTATCCCCAGCCCAAGTCTACAACTAGTAAAGAGAGAACATAAGATGGTGGTTAAAAGCACTGATTTTTGGTTCTGGACTTATTTCCTTTTCTTTCTCCCTGAGACATTAATAATATTCAGTTCCTGAAGTTATTGGCAGAGATAAAGCATATAGTACCTCACATGCAGTTCTCATAGCCATTGACTTTTAGGTTTAGGGTCCCAATTCCTCCTTTGGGTCAAGCTCTTTGTGGTAAAGTAATGATGGGAGTCCTGTTTTCTTAAGCAGTTAGCCCTTCTAGAAGGGTATATTTTGCATCGTTTACTAATTTATCTCTACCAAAATGCCAGTACGCAGCAGATTCTTATTTGATATTTGAATGAAGAATCACTATTATGAGTCTGTTATGAGTAAACAACATTTATTTAATTCTGGTTAGCTAGGCTAATGCTGTGGCACTTACTAACTGTTCAGTTTAGTTTTTCCTCTTGATAAGTGATTTGTTTCTATTCACCATTAAGTCTATTAAATGAAATCTACTGTAAAACAATTTTAAGTTACTAGGAAGAACATAAGTCAAACTCATCTAGCTTATTGGGTAATCACAAATTTGTCTGCCCTAACTAGAGTGCCTTACCTTGTACTTCAGTTTATTTAGTGTTAGCATTTAAGTGTGGTGCCTTTAGGAAAACATTGCTGAAATGCTTTGTTGGATATGGTCTTCTTTATTTATCCCTCTTCATTTTTATCTTTTTGCTTTCACGTCAGCTGAATAGGCAAACAAATCCAAGTCATAAATATGCTCTGATAGAGGAAGAAAAGAAAAACAGCAGTTGCATTTCAAACCTAACTTCCTGACAAGCACAGGTTTCAGTTCTTTTGTGTGGTGCTCTGCAAGGGTCCTGGCTTGCCTTTTAGCAAGGAAAGCAAGCCAGGAATTTAAGCTTCAGAAAATCCTGATGAAACTTTTTAGTTGTGGTTCCTGGTCAGCAATGATGCTTTTAACATAAGAAAGTATCATTTCTATTTTCATATTGCTGCCTACCCACATCTGTTTTAGTGTCTTAGTGTCTTATTTAGATGCTTAAAGTGAATAAAGAATTTTAAAAATGAGCAAAAAATAGTTGAAGATGCGTGTTTTTGCAGAAAGAGTTATGGGGTGTTATGTGTTAATGTCAACGGAATCCACTTTGTCAGCAACATATACAAGAATGATATGCCCTAATCCTTGTTTTTTAGACTTGGGAAGACCCAGGACACAGTGATAAACATACTGGCTGTTGTGGTGACAATGACCCAATTGATGTTTGTGAAATTGGAAGCAAGGTAATGAAATTGGACATTTTATTCTACTGTGTTAAGATGAAATTAATGAAATATATCAAAATTCATGCTTTAAAAAATATTGTGAATACAGTATATGACTATTAGTGAAATAGTGATGTCTCTTTGGCTTGGTTTCTCTTTCCTTCCAAGCATTTATACATTGCCATTTGTACATTTAAACCTAATCTGGAAAAAAATGTGTATTTATGTGTATATGACTGAACGTACATGTAGAAGAAGGGGATATTCTGCAGTGTCCTGGGAGATGGACAGCTAGCCAATAGGTGAAGGGCACCAAGAGGCACATTTTATCTCAGAAGCAAACTGAACCTAATGATTTGAAGAAATCGGTGAAATGACTCCAGCCAAATGGACCACATAAGCTTATGATAGTGATTCTTCTATTAAGTAGGGTTGCTCTAAAATTCTGATAAAGTTACTTCTTTCTTTCTTTTTTTAAATTGGTACTGGAGATTGAAAATGGGGTCCTTCACCACTGAGCTACATTCCCTGCCTTTTATTTTGTGTTTTGAGATGGGCTTGCCAAGTTGCCTAGGGCCTTGCTAAATTGCTGAGGCTGACCTCGGACTTGTGATCCTCCTGCCTCAGTCTTAGTAAAGCACATTAAGAGATGTATCTGAAGCTAAATGTAGTGTTACATGCCTGTAATCCCAGCAATTCTGAAGGCAAAGGCAGGAAAAATCACAGGTTCAAGACCAGCCTTGGCAACTTAGCAAGACCCTATCTCAAAATTTTTTTCAAAAGGGGAAATAGCTCGGTGGTAGAGACTTGCCTAGCATGTAAGAGGCCCTTGGTTCAAACCCCACTACTTCAAAAAGTCTAAGTCTGCTGCAATGATACATGCATGTAATCCTAGCTACAAAGGAGGCTGAGGCAGGAGGATCACAAATTCAAGGCCAGCCTGGAAACACATAGCAAGACCCTGTCTCAAAAAAAGGAAAATTGTTTCTGAAACAAATTATGGTGAACTTATTCTTCAGCACAAAGACAATATGAAAAGTATTATTAATTATCCTGAATTATGTTACTGATTTTCTTCTGACCTATAAGAGAACAGGACTTATAGGTCTTGTTTTCAACCTTAATAAGACTGATAAAGCATTTATGTCTTTTAAAAACTTGCTTCAAGCTGGAGAAGGTGGTGCACACCTATAATCCCAGCAACTCGGGAGGCTGAGACAGGAGGATCACAAGTTCAAGACCAGCCTTAACAACTTAGCAAGACCCTGTCTCAAAGTAAAAATTAAGATGGCTAGGGATGTAGTTCTGTGGTAAAGTACCTCTGGCTTTAATTCCTAGTACTTAAATAAATAATTCTAAAAGTTTACTTCAAGGAACAATCTTCAAGTAAATTTGCAGAAATTTGACACCTTTCTTATTTCCTATTACTCCCAAGTAAAACTTTGTTCAAACTTCCATTCTGTAATTCTGTCCTGACCGTGATTATTGCCCCTCAGGTATGTGCAAGAGGTGAAATAATCAGGGTGAAAGTTCTGGGCATATTGGCTATGATTGATGAAGGAGAAACTGACTGGAAAGTCATTGCCATTAACGTGGATGATCCTGATGCAGCGAATTATAATGGTAAGAAAATTAAGTCTTTCTAACTTTCTTAGGCAAGACCAAACTTTACCCATAATTATAATTGGAATTGTAAACCCCTGACTCCACATTGTTAAAGAATGGAGGAACAAAGCATTGTTATTTGTACAACTGAACTTGGGACAATTAACTAAAAAGTAAGCTTCTCTTTTGTTCTGTGAAAGAAAAAAAATCTGTTTGGGTTTATTGGATTTTCTTTTAATGTATTTAGTAAGTTGTGTGATCATCACCACTGTCTAATTCCAGATAATTTCCTTTGCCCTAAAATGACATTCTGTATTGTTGACATTATCTTTTTGTGTGTTAGGAGGTGAGTATTGGAGATTGAACCCAACAGTGCTCTACCTCTGAGCTACATTTCCAACCTCATTTTTTTTTGAGATAGGATTTTGCTGAATTGCTGAGACTGGCCTCAAATTTGCCATCCTCCTGCTTCAGCTTTTGGAGTTGCTGGGATTACAAGCATTGACTACATACCTGACTGATTTTATCGTTTTTTTTTTTTTTTTTAATATTTTCTTAGTTGTAGTTGGACACAATACCTTTATTTTTATTTGTTTTTATTTTTATGTGGTGCTGAGGATTGAACCCAGCACCTCACTCATGCTAGGCGAGTGCTCTACCACTGAGCCACAACCTCATCCCCTGATCTTAACATTTTTAAGTGTACAATTCATTGGTATTTAACACATTCACTAGGTTGTGCAACCACCACCACGAGGTCAGTTTACTTCCTTTCCCCTCCTTCTCCCAGGTCCTAACAACCACTAGGTCTACTTTTGTCTCTAGAGGTTTCATGCACATGGGCCTGTATGGCACGCATTCTCGTCTGGCTGCTTTCACTTCATGTTTTCTAGGTTCTTTCATGTTGCCTGAATCAGTACTCACTCCTTTTTATGGCTGAATTTTGTTCCATTGTGTGGATATTAACATTTTGTTTGTGTCCACCAGGTGTAGACATTTGGGTTCTAGTGATTATAAACAATGCCATGATCCTATATGTGTTTTTGTGTGATCATGTTTTTAATCAAAACAGTGGTACTGTTTCTCGTTCTGTGGCTGGTCCTTTCATTTTCTTAACAGTATACTTTGAGGTACTCGAGTTTTAAATTTTGATGGAAGTCCAGTTTTTCCTTTTAATCATCTGTTTATTTTTATGTGGTGCTGAGGATCGAACCCAGTGCCTCGTATGTGTTAGGCGAGTACTCTATCACAGAGCCACAACCCCAGCCCTTTTCTTGTGTTTTTGATGTTGTGTCTAAGAAACCATTGCCTGATCCAAGGTCATAAAGGTTTGAGCTTATATTTTCTTCCATGAGTTTATAAATTTAGCTTTTACATTGTAGTCTTTGATTTATTTTGAGTTAATTTTTCCATAGGCGTGGAAAAACAGACTTGTATAACATGCAGCCTTTTGTGTCTAGCTGCTTTCACTCACTGTCCATTTTCTAGCTCATTCACGTGTGTAGTATGTATCAGTAATTAACCTTGCTTCTACTTCTAACCGTTTATCTGGTTATTTAATTAGTCTTATAAAATGGGTCTCACTGGAGAAGTGTCAGCAGGGCTGTGTTCCTCTGCGGACCCTTGAGGAAGATCCATTTTTTTCTCACTGCAAACTTGAGTTCCTTGTCACAGCTCCTCTGACTCATCTTCCTTCTTTATGTGTAAGGACCTCTGTGATTACGTCAGACCCACCCAGATGACCAGGGATAATACCCCAGTGTTAAGGTCAGATGATGAACAACCTTAATTCCATCTGCTCCATTTTCCCCCCTTGCTATGAAACAGCACTTTCACAGACTGGGAATTGAGAGATGGGTGTCTGTCTACCACAGCAGTAAAATTATTTTGTATGGCCCTGTATGGTGGATACATGATAATGTGCATTTGCCTAACCCGTAGATTTTCATAGTGGCAGAATAACGCCCCCTCTAGAAATGCCCAACTCTTAACCCTGAAACCTGGGAAGATGTCACCTGTGGCCAGTGGGCTTTCTGACACGATTAACATTAAGGACCTGGGATGGGGGATGTATCCTGGAGTAAGTATCCAAGTGGGCCTAATCCATCACACACGTCCTTTCCCAGCTGTGTTGACAGAGCAATGTGATAGCAAGAGAAAGCTCAGGGAGGTGCCACATTGCTGGCTTGAAAATGCTGGAGGTGAGGAGGGGGCAGTCTATGACAGCTGATAAATGCAAGGAAACAGATTCTCTCCCAGAGTCCTTAGAAGGGTGCACAGCTGGGCCGAGTTGTGGCTTAGTGGTAGAGTGCTTGCCTAGCATGTGTGAGGCATTACCACATACAATAAACAAATAAAATAAAGATATTAAAAAAAGTCACACAGCCTTGCTGACACCTAGTGGCACTGTGGAACTTCCGACCCACAGGACTGTTAGATAATAAACGTTATTTTAAGCTACCAAGCTTGTGATTTTATTGTTTGTTTTACAGAATAGATTATCTAATATACAGTATAAAAGAATCATTTACAAGGTCAATTCCAGGATGAAATGTAGATTATATCGAAAGAATCTTACTGTATTACAAATGTATGAAAGAACCTCCCTGACCTTAGTTGCTTTAGGGATGAGTGAAATTAGTAAGACCAAAGGCAGAAAGAACTGCACATAGCATCGGACTGCAGTTGGTAAAGTTGTTTCTGTTGGATCGCTGCTTCACAGGCCTAGACACTAAACAAATACTGGATCTGAGCAATTAAATAAATGGATGGAAGATGGTGAGCCAGGCTTCTCCCTGTTGCAGTGGGAGGTTATAGATAAGCAAGGAGATGTGGCTAGAGTTGGAGATACCAGTATGAACCCAAATTTATCCCAATGTAAAAACAGATGGAGACATAGAGAAATAACTTTTAGAGCATAGTGCAGTGGTGCACACCTGCAGTTGCAGTGACTCTAGTGACTGAGGCAGGAAGTTTGCAAGGTCAAGGCCAATCTCAGCAACTTGGTGAGACCCCGTCTCAAAAAATAAAAAGGTCTGGGGATGTAGCTCAGTGGTAAAGCACCCCTGGGTTCAATCCCCAGTACCAAAAGAAACGTTTTTAAATATATGTATGTACATGACTTTGTATACACATATCTGTTTCTTTATCAGCTGGGAGGGCTTAGGAGAACTTTTCAGTGATGATGAGCTCCACTGGCACCCAGATTCTACAATGAAGAGGATCTAAGATCCTGGGAGAAATGGCAGATTCTATGACTACAGCAGGAAATGAAAAGATGAGCCCCAAGTATCTTATAGTGTGACGAAGTAAAGAACTGCCCTCTAAAACATAATGGGAGGTCTGTCAATGTAAATATTTGATGTTTTTGTTGAATGCATAAATAATAATGCATCTTGCAAATTCCTTATACTCTATAGATATAAATGATGTCAAACGGCTGAAACCCGGCTACCTAGAAGCTACTGTGGACTGGTTTAGAAGGTACAAGGTTCCTGATGGAAAACCAGAAAATGAATTTGCTTTCAATGCTGAATTTAAAGATAAGGTGATATGTCATTCATAACTGTAGTTTTAGGCCTGTTTGTATTGAGACTTATAATTTAATCATATAATTCTCATTTAAAAATTAAAAGACTAAAGACTTAGACAGTCTTTGTGTCTTATTAACCTTTGTTTAAATGTTCTCTTTATTTTTTAACACAAGAACTGATTCAAAATAAAGTATCAGGGTTTGGGAAATGTCTATCATATTTCTTAGTAATAAACAATTTTTAAATAGTGTCAGCATGATTTTTTAAAATAAAAACTTCACATCATGCTGGGCGTGATGGCATACGCCTCTAATCCCAGTGACTTGAGAGACTAAGATAGGAGGATTACAACTTCAAGGCCAGCCTTGGTAACCTAGCAGGCCCTCAGCAGCTTAGTGAGATCCTGTCTCAAAATAAAAAGTAAAAGGGACTGGGGATGTGGCTCAATGGTTAAGCAATCCTGGCTTAAATCCCTAATTATGGAAAAAAAAAAAAACTTCATCTTATAATGGTCGCACCCCACTTCTTTACTGAATTTGACAAAATCCGTGACAATTATGCATGGACATATGGTAACGGAAAAAAAAAAAAAAACCACTTCTACACTGTAACTAATACATCTCTCTTTAAATTATAGGACTTTGCAGTTGATATTATTAAAAGTACTCATGACTATTGGAAAGCATTAGTGACTAAGAAAACGGATGGAAAAGGAATCAGTTGGTAAGTGTTCCCCTCTTCTGCATGTTCAATACAGAGCAAGCCAGTTTGTGCCCAAGGTTTCAGTAACCGTAAGACACTGTGCTATTACATTCACTTGGTAAAGAACTAGTTTTGTCAGTGCTCAAGTGAATTCGGACACTCTGAACAAGTACAATCTAAAACATAAAGAGGACAGTGAGGTCAGAGCTGTGTGAGGGTATATGGGAAAGGCTGCTGGCATCAGGGCATTCAGAATATAAAAGATAAAGATGAGTGCAGGGTTAATATCCTCTGATATAAAAACTTAAGGTGCATCACAACTACACCAGCGTCTACCGTGTACACCAAATTTATCAACACTAATAGTAGCTAATGTTTATGAAGCAGTTAATATCTGCTGAGCCTGTACCGGGTGTGGGGTAATTAAATATAATATAATCACAGTCACTTCAGAATAAGTGTCAGAGCAAGAATTCATACTCTTGTCTGTCCCCCAAACCTGCGTTCTTAACAGTACAGTGGACTTCCTCAAGAGGCTACCCACTGTGATCACTTACCTATTGTTCTGAAAATACTAATCAATGAAATAGATAATGGAATGAGGTGTAGGAATATTGGAAAGGGCAGAGCAAGTGTTGCAGATGATATTGTATATCCAGAAAACCTTTGGGTGGGGGGAGGAATGGCCAGACATGGTTGGGCACACTAGTAATCCCAGGTACTTGGGAGGCAAAGGCAAGAGGAACCTAAGTTCAAGGGCAGCCTTAACAATTTACTTGGTGAGACGCTGTCTCAAAATAAAAACTAAAAAGAACTAGAGATGTATGTAGTCGCTCAGTGGTAAGAGTACCCCTGGATTTAATCCTTAATACCCACTCCCTACCGCCACCCCACTCCATGCACAAATTTAAAAAAATACCAAGATTAAATAGTAAATCTTTAAGACCCAAGAAAGGGAAACTTTAAGATTCTGTTGAGGAACATACAAGATGTTAAATAGAAAGATAAACTGTTTGAGCTGGGCACAGTGTCACACACCTGTAATCCCCACGGCTTAGGAGGCTGAGACAGGATGATCGTGTGTTCAAAGCCAGCCTCAGCAATGGCAAGGCACTAAGCAACTCAGTGAGCCCCTGTCTCTAAATAAAATACAAAAATAGGGCTGGGGATGGGGCTCAGTGGTTGAGTGCCCCTGAGTTCAATCCCTGGTACCCAAAGCGGGGAAAAAGAATGACATTCAATTTCATCTAGAAACAATTTACATGTGAGAATAACCAGGAAAATTCAGGAAAAAGAAAAAACAAAGGTAGTAGAGGTGTAAAGGAGTGTTAATTATAATAGTAGGTTCATGTTGTTTACAGTTCATAATACAGAATATATTTTGAAGGCTGTGGTTATGACTGAGTGGAAGAGCACTTGCCTTGCATGTGTGAAGCACTGGGTTCAATCCTCAGCACCATATAAAAATAAATAAAGATTAAAAAATATGTTAAATATATTTTTTGAATTAATGATTTTGAACCAACTGGCTATTAAGGAAGAAAAGAAGACTAGATTTCTATCTCCTTATAATCCTTAAATCAAGCATGCATACTGGCAACCACCATCGTGATCCAGGTGTTTTATTTTTAAAATATGCTATAACTAGGCAGGTGCTTGGTGTATGTTCTGTGGACAACATCCCAGCACCAATTTTCTTACATCCAGCCTATTTTATACTCTTAATTGGATTCTGTCTGCCAGCATTTGAATTTACAACCCCTGTCTTACCATCAGTATTTAATTCCAGATAGAAAAATTTATTATTAGGGCTGGGGATGTGGCTCAAGTGGTAGCATGCTCGCCTAGCATGCATGAGGCACTGGGTTCGATTCTCAGCACCATGTAAAAATAAAATAAAGATATTGTGTTCACTTAAAACTAAAACAATAAATATTTAAAAAAAAAAGAAAAAATTTATTATTAAAAATTTCTGGGCTGGGGTTGTGGCTCAGCAGTAGAGCACCTGCCTAGCACGTGCAAGGCCCTGGGTTCAATCCTCAGCACCACATAAAAATAAACAAATAAAGGTATTGGGTCCAGCTACAACCAAAAAATAAATATTAAAGAAATTCTTAAAAAAAGAAAAAGTTTTACAAATGGTATTATTTTTTATGTATCAGAAGACGTTTACCACTTTCTTATCTTTTTAAACAATACATAACAAAGGCCTGATTCCTTAACTTATTAACTTCAATAATAAGCTATTTATAGGAAAAAAGATGAAGGGGAAAAGGTAGAGGAATAGTTTGTTTATAAGAGGATATAGTCTTATTCATTGTTTAAAATGTAGTTAAATGCATGATTTTTTTTTTTTTTTTTTGTAGTACCACAGTGAATGTATCTTATAGATGTGGCCTTAGATTTTTCTTTAAGTGTAAGAAAATCCTACTGTATAAAAATAATTCTCCTAAGAATCTTCTATATCAGGATAAGAAAATCCTACTGTATAAAAATAATTCTCCTAAGAATCTTCTATATCAGGATAATATCCTATAAACTGAAAATATTATAATTCCACAAACAGAGGAAAATCCGAGAAAAGTTAACACATTTATGTGAAAATGAACAGTCAGGGTTTGGTGGTGCACGCCTGTAATTTCAGCACCTCTGGAGGCTGAGGCAGGAGGATTACAAGTTCAGGGCCAGCCTCAGTTATTAAGGCCCTAAGCAACTTAGTGAGACCCTGTCTCAAAATAAAAAGGACTGGGAATTTAGATCAGTGGTAACAGGTAATTGCAGATATTTCATTTCTCATTTTAATATTTTTTGTTATGCACACATTATGTTGTATTAATGCTATAAAAAGAATTTATAGATAAGCAAAAAGACCGTGGTTTTTTGGGGTTTATTTTTTTGTTTTGTTTTGTTTTTTAAATCACCCAGAATCACACTTTCCAGATACCTCTTTTAATATTTGGAGGGGTTTTCCCCTAGTCCTTTATATAAGTACATAATACTTTTAAAAATAGTTATAATTATATTGCATGCACAATTAATTTTATGCTTTTTAAATTTAACACCATACTATAAGCATTTTCCCATTATAATATGGTGTAACATTCTGTTTCTGTATAATATTCTATCTTGTGGTTAAACCATTTTTCATTATCCCTTATTGGTGGACATTTTGGTTACTTCCAGTTTTTCACTGGTTCACCATTCACAGTATGGGAACATCTTTAGAGATTCAGTCTTGTATTGGGCCCTCAGAGTGGAAATTTCTCTATCAAAGCTTATGAACTTTATAAAGATTTTTAATGAGTTATTTTTCAGAAATGTAGAGTTCAGGTATTACTCTTACCAGGAGTGTCTTGTTTCAGATGTCCCATAAGCCCTTATAGGAACAGGGGTACATTTTTGTTTCATTTTCTTCAACTAGGAAAGAAGTTTCTCGTTTCAGTTGGTATTTCTCAGCTATTTCAGTGAGAACTGAAAGTATCCAGTCTCAGATTGTTAAATCTGAACTATAGATATTTGAGTAAAATTAACCACAAGAAAAATTCACCTTGACAAAATAATTAGAGTGTTTAATATAGGTGAGAGCTTTCAACCAACCAAACTTGAATGTCATAAGGTCTAAATCTTCAACTTTTATTTTTTAACTCTTTTAAGAGGATTTTTTGTTGTTGTTATTTTGTCTTCTGACTACTTTTGTTTTATTCATAGCATGAATACAACAGTGTCTGAGAGCCCCTTCAAGTGTGATCCTGATGCTGCCAAAGCCATTGTGGATGCTGTATGTAAAAGTCCTCTTTAAAAAGAGGATGGGAGCTGGGTTGTTGCTCAGTGGTAGAGTGCTCACCTAGCAGGTGCAAGGCCCTGGGTTCAATCCTCAGCACCACATAAAAATAGATAAAATAAATAAAATAAAAGCATGCTGTCCATCTACAATTACAAAAAAAAAAAAAAAAAAAAAATTAAAAAAAGATGAGTGATAAAGGATATGTTGCCAAATAGGGGGAAAAAAGTGCTTCTTTCACAGATAATTTGAGTACCTCCTATATTGTGTGAAGTCTTGAAATGAGAAATAAACACAGGTAAATATTTGACCAAGGGGAGAAGCTGAGGAATGATCCTACTGAACTGTAAGTTGGACAGGCAGCAAAGTAGTATAATTCATAAAAATCAAAATGACTGCAGAATGTGCCCGGTAACCCAAGTGCCTGTTACCTGTCATAAGCCGTTTTTCACAAGAGAACCAATATGGATTTACTTGTCTTCATTTTGGCAAGGACTGAGGAAGTTACTTAATTTTAGGTACCACTGCAGATTGTAATACTAGAAAAGAATGTCATGGGAGATAATAAACCAACCATCAAAACAGTCATTTTGTTTTTGTATTATTTTTAATTTTGTGGTTTAGACTTAAAAAATTCTTCAATTATTATCACAGTATTTAATAAAAAGGCAAACCGCCAGGTATAGTAGCATATGAGGCAGGAGGATGGCAAGTTCCAGGCCAATCTAGGCAATTTGTTGGACTTTTCCTCAAAATAAAAATAAAAAGGGCTGGAGATATAGCTCGGGGGTAGAGCACTTTCCTCACATGGTCAATAAGTAATGGAACTCTGACTTAGCTGACTTGCAGCATAGGGAAAAGGGACAACAATATGAGCCTGTTACATGTTTACTATGAATCCTGACAACATTGAGATAAATAAGAAAAACTGGAATGGAAAACCCATTGATCAATTATTATAACTTGACTTTTCCAACACTGCTTACGTTTTATATGTGTGTGTATATATAAAATTATTCTATATGCATAAAATATTTTATTCTTTATTTTAAAAGTCAAGAGTCTTGAATATGTTAGTATCTCTTAGCAGAAGAGTAAAACTTGCACTATTCCTGTATATTATCAACTATTTTTAGAACCTAAAAATTAGGGTAACCTTTTATCAAGATTCTTTCAAATTTTGCAGTATACTTTTAGTTGTTTCCCCCCGTTAATGCATTTTAATATTTATTTTAGTTAC